CCCAGGACCCGCATATATATACTACTTTTAATTGTTACGTAATTAACATATTACTCCCGCAATAACTAGCTTTTAATTTTTAGAAAATTCTAAAAATTGGTGAGATTAAATGAACAAAAAACTTATTTCTCCAAAAAATATTGAAACAGCTTGATTTTTTTTAAACTTAATTTAAGTAAAGTTTAGACCAAATCCTATTTTTTTTCAGCAATATTTTTTAATAATTTAATTTTCCAAAATTTATAAATATTTTAAGTTTGATTATAATCAAATAAAAAAAAAGTTCAATTTTCGCGTTCTATCAAACCTAATAGCAAATAGAAACCATAGAAATCTTTCTAATTTGTAATTATTATTTTCTATCAAATAATTTAAACATCGAAAATATTCTTTTATTTTCAATTTTTATTTATTTCATTTACTATTTATTTTTATTACTACCTAATTCCATATTTCTTCCCCGTTCTAAGAGTTTTTGAAATATGTGTAGTGCTGCCATCTGTTGTCAGGGAAAAGAGACTAAGCAGTCAGTAATAGAAAAGAATAATTTTATATTTAACTATCATCCAAGCTACTTTTTTAAAGTTAAAATCGTAAAATAAATCAAAGAAATGTGTTTGCTAGTACTTAGTACAATAAAAGAGTTATGAAAGTTTAGACACAAAAGTTTTAAAATAAATAATTCAACAAAGACACTTACCTTATAACAAATTTATAAACACAATTGGCGAAAAACAATTTAAAACTGATCATCTTACACTGTCCAATTCAATCATAAAAATTCAAAAGTTATGCAGTAACCGTAACTACAGACATTACTCAGATATTGCGGACATTACCATATAAGAATAGACTTTTTGCTGTTAGTTAACTAAAGCCATTTGAATTCAGAGACTGAGTACTTAAAGCATGTTAATTAAACAAATGGATTTAAATTATTAATACATATTAATAATAACTGAAATTAGAATAAAGTTGTTTCTTAATATTAAGATAAAAGAAATAAAAAATCCAGAGCGATAACTCCCAGCCTCACCTCTGAGTGTAGCCAATGGAGTACAAATGACTATACTAGATTATATTTGATTATATATTTGACTAATTTATATTCTTTGCTAATCGTGCCCATAGTCGTATTTACCCCAAATAGAAAATTCACGTAAACTCTGTATCTTTTATTAAATGGAAGTAGATGGCAAAAATAAATAAAAGCAATGTACTAGTAGTCGCTACTTCCTCCGAAGTTTGTAGTGCAGTGCGCTAATTTTTAAAAGTAGTTATGTCGTGAGATAAAAAAAAAAAAAAAAAAAAAAACTGTACAGCGATTCCTAGCAACTGCTTTTAACTTTAGTTAAATAAAGAAACAAAGTTCAAACGCAAAAAAAATTTCGAATCTGATTGGTGCAAATCTTGCGCGGGTCCATCAACGAACGCAGTAAGAATGCCTCTGGGGCGGAACGTTAACATCTACGCCTGATGCTCGGAAAAATCGGTGCGAAATCGATCGAGTTGTTTTTGGTCGAATCCAATTCTAAACAAGTGACTTTTTTAAAATTCGATTTCACGGGAATTATAAATTACGTTTTTGTGTCTGATTTCGCAACTCAAAATAAGGTCTGCATTAATTAATTCGATTATTTGCGGAAGTCCTAGAACGTGAAGATCCGATCATTAGATCAAAAGATATTCAGGGAGGTCCGTTTTTTGTTTTTCGCACTGTACTTTATTTCTTGGAGGATATAAAAAAGCACTGATCACTTAAATCACAAATATTTGATAATTTCCCAGCATTTCATAAATCATTGTCGAGAAAAGTATACAGTTCGAAAGTTAAAAGAACAAATTCGCAAAAGTGCTTTAGAATAAAAAAAAATATTTCATGTAAACATGAATTAAAACCTTTGAATATCTCCTCATATTTAACCAAACCAATTTTTTTATTCAAAATCATTTTGAATATTAGTGAAATTTAAGTTCTCCTGCTAAATTTGTCTTCTAAAAGTAGCGAAGTAGTTAGTAGACGCTGCATTTAATTTTAAAAAAAATACAGTACAGAACCCGTCATGCGGAAATCAGAAAACCGGAAAACCAAAAAACCGGAATGAAATTCCATTTTCCCGTCATTTTCAAAAAAAAAATTTTTTTTTCCTCATAAGATTTCTGGATTTTTCTTTTTATTTTGAAAGAAGGACCTTACCATCATTTTGGAAATAATCATTAGTGTATTACTTCTTTTTAAGATTATTTCCAATTTTTTTTTTTTTTTTAGTTGGGTTTAACAATAAAAAAACGGCTTTTTGTAGCGATTCAGAAAACCGGAAAAATCAGTTATCCGGAATAGCGATGGTCCCGATCGTTCCGGATAATCGGTTCCCTACTGTAGTAGTAGATAATTACAACTGTAATAAAGTAGTTGTCAGGGTGCATAGTCAAATCTTTCAACAAAAAATAAGCACCTTTTAAGTACTTTTTAATCACTCAAAAATATTTTTAACCACTATATACATTAACAAAATGCAAAATAATTTTCTAAGACTTTAAATGATCGTGAAAAAATAACTAGTTTCTGACAAAGAACTCTTTTCTTGATTATATTAGTCATTATAAAATTATCGAGAGATTTTTTCGGTTCGATATCGGAGGGTGGAAAATAAAGTCTGGAATTGAGAACATCTTGAAAAATGCAGCATAGTTGTTGTACATGAGAGTGCAATAATCTCACCGAACCCAGATCAGCAGGCGTACATAGGGACTCGCAAGTATTTTACCAAACATGTAAAATGTTTGGTGTTTTCATACGCTATGGACCGATGGTGCGCCGAAATGGATTGTGGTGGAATGAATGGTGAAAACGTTGAATAGAACAATGATATAAAATAGGTGAAAAAATCTCATCTTCGAAAAGGGAAAATAAAGCACTTTTTAAAAACACCCCATGAAAAAAGCACCTTTAAGGGCTTTTAAATAACGAAAATCGAAAATAAGCAACTTTAAGCACTTTTTAGAAACGTTACGCACCATGAGTTGTTGTTAATTACATTTGTAATGAAGTAGTTGTAGTTATCTACAAAGAAAATGTAGTTTTTCCAACCACTGCTCTTAACCTAAGATGATTGGGTTTTAACTTTTAGGGAATGTGTACGTAGAAGAGTAAAAAAAAAAAGTTTCAGGGAGTGTACGAGAGAGAATTGATTGGTAATAAAAAAGTTAATTTGAAAAAAGTTAGAAAGATTTTAGAGGAGATGAAAAGATTTAAATCGGTATAATTAAGAACGACATTAAAATGAATAATGAATGACGGTCTTAAAATGTATGGTAACTAAAAATTTTCATTTTTCAATTTGCATGCGTATTATCTTTTTAAAAATTATATTTTCTTAAGTGTTCAGTAACTGTTTTTAATACCTTCACTAATATATTGTCTACTTTAAATTTTAAAATAAAAAGTAAATTTGATTATGATTTTATGTGGTTTTTAATTTAATCACTAATCACGGCGGCTACGCAACAGCATCAGTGATAGCTGGACAGTAAATTCTTTAACGTGAGTAAATAGAGAGATTTTGCACTTTCATGGAACATTTCAGCCTTTAACACACGTAGATTCTGCACAATCCTATATATCGTCCATTAACGTGAATTAGCCAGCCCGTACTACAGTAATCAAAACTAAAATTTTGCTTAAGCTTTTACACACTTATTGTAATTGTTGATTATAAAATAGGCGTAATTATTGAATTACCTGTTGGATAGTTTTGGCGACAAAGATTCTAAGTTGGCGATCGCTCTGTCTCTTTCATTTTTCATTTCACTGTACTGACGCAGGGCCGACTCTCTTTGTTGAACAGCAGCCGCATTCTCACGCAAAACAGAGTCTCTTTCTTTCAACGCCAACTGTAAGCCAAGTTTGAGATTATTTGTGCTGCTCGATCCCTCAAGTTCTGAACCTATAAAAGAAAAAAAATTACATTTATCAAAAATCAGGGTTTCAACCTAGAAATATATCGAATGTCTCTTACAAATACGCAGATTACATCAAGTGCAACTGGTTTCACTATTAAAGTTCAGGGGTCTATCCAGGCTGAATTTACTACCGTTTAGCGGTACCTTCACAAATTTAACTTTAGGAAAAACGGTAGTTTCACAAATTCAATTTTAGGAAAAACGGTAGTTTCACAAAATACTTTTTCTTAAAATTTCATTTTTGTATCCCCTAAGAAACGATAAATCCATATTTTTGCGTTGATTTATTAATATAATTTTTAATTTTTCACAAATTACGTCTAAATTTTCACAAAATAGGTACCTGTCAGAAAAACATAGACAGACCCCTGAAGTTTCCATACACATGAAAAATTTGGGGCAATATATATAAGGCACGTTTTCAATTTGTTCAGGAGAGCGTTTCTAGCGACAAGCACCCCTCCATCTACAGCAGTGTTTCTTAACCTTTTTGATATAATGGACCACTTTTAAAATTTAAGAAGTCACGGACCACCCTCCTGTGAAAAAAATAATTGCAAAAAACCTCAATAATTAGAAAATATTTAATTAAATTATTTTAATAGTATATAAAATTTTTAAAATTAAAATTTTAATGTGAAGGTTGCTGCTGCTTTTCCTTAATTAATAAATTGATTTGGGGGATGGTTTTCGACAAAGCAATATCATGTTCAATATTCAATCGATTTCGATGTTATGTTTTTATTGTCACAAGTGTGGAAAATCCCGCTTCGCAAAGATACACTGTAGCAAACGGAATTATAGCTGCCATAGCTCGCTTTACAAGCAATGCAATGGGTAGGCTTCCAAACGTTTTAAAAATTAGGAGCAGTCAGCAGACCCCTAAAATATAACTCATGAACCCCGTGACGCTTCGGAAATAAGGGGTTAAGAAACCCTGATCTAGAGGCAATAGGAAGTTTTTGTGGAGTGATGATTCAGTGATTAGTATTCGAGTGATCATTCAGAATAATGTTTATTTTTTTTCTTCCTTTTATCGCAAATTTTGACTTTCTCTTGTCAGCAAAATTAAGCAAATTAAAAAAAAAAAAAAAAAAACTCATGCAAACGTAAGTAAGTTGGTAACTTTTGTTTATGCTTTTACTTTTACTGTAGTCATCCACTTTTAAGAATATTAGGACGAAACACAAATGAAAAATGTAATTTTTAACTAAGCAAAATTTACGTTTTAATTCATTTCATAAAATTTTGAAACTATTTGGAAAAAAATTTTGTCCAACTTTTTCTTTTTCTAAAATTTAACTTTGATTTCAAATTTGAAGTTTTCCGAGAAGTGCAATTATTTTTATGATCCAAATTTTTTTTAAATAAACCCATTTTAGGGTCATTTTACGTAAGCACTGCTCATATTCCTCGCCTCATAGAAAAAAAATTCAGAAAATATTTCGCACATTGAGGTGCTTACGCAGTATTCTAACGGAGCCTTTAGCAAAAATTCCAGTAACCTGAAAAGTACCTACATGGGAACAATAAGAAATGTCAATAATAGTATGGTGATTTTTTTTATGCTTCTCCTATACGAATTAGTATTATTTTTCCAATAATTTTGCTTTTTAATACAAAGCTTACTTTTTCACTTCAATTACTGTTGATTTTACGTAATTTATTTTTATAGATTCTCGTTTCAAAAGCATAACTATAAATAAAATAAACACGCTGCTTCAAATAATTTTAGAAATACTAACGGGATACTTGCAAGTTACGTAGTGTGGATATCTCGATCCTGATTGGTTCTTGAAACGTTGCATTTGTTTACATTAGCAACTGTACTTTCCATTCAAGTAAGAGTGAGCCAAGCCCGACAAGTAGCACTTCTCTTACGTGCCACATTCTACATTCTTTCACAAAGATTTCAATTCTTGCACTATGTATTTCTTACTTAACACAAAGACAGGCACAAAGCCATGAAGAACATAAACTAATTATGTATCGAAGTTTCCAGGTACACAAAACAGAATATAAATCACTGTTACAATAAAATACATAAACAAAGTATAAATATAAGTTAAGTAAAATACGTAGACGCGAAAGAATTATATTTCAATAAATTCGATGAGTGATACGGCGCTGTATTCAATTAACTTCGCATTAATTAACATTCTAACTTATGTGGAGACACTTAACCCAACTTTAACACGCCATTTTGCTTTTAAACTATCGGCTGGCGCTGACGTCATAGGTCACATGTGTGGGTATTCGTGATCTTCTTCTTGAAGTGGAAGTACCTTGAAAGTCAAGTCTTGAAGCGCAAGTAAAAGAAGTGCAATTAAGAGACGCAATCCGCCAATACTATGATGTCCAGGCTGATCATAGCGTTTTTCTGACGTAACGAATAAATTATGTAACGAAGAAAGAAAATATTAAAGAATGTGAGAAAACCTTTTTTTTTTTAACGAAAGCTTTAAACTAGCAAATATCACTGATCAAATCTTTATAACATTTGAAAGAAAAAAAAATCGTCTGTGGCAGTCTTATTTTTATCAATGACGAGTTCTAAGCCAATGAAAAAATTCCATTTTTCGTACGGCTCTACTTAACGAACTAATTGAAACTTTCGAACGAATTTTAGGATCGGAAACTAAATTTGCCTCTCGCAACCGCTGTCCCAATTTCAAGACGATAGCATAAATGGTTCTAGTGTTATACGAGAGACAGATGAACTCATATTATTATACATAAAGGGCAAAATTAACGGTCGCCAACTGCCACATTGCTACTAAATTGCAATTAAAAAATTGTTTGACAATCGCCACTCGATTGCCACTTTCCTCGCCAAAAGTGAGCCACATATGCATTCTATTATATATTTTTTTTAATAAATATGGAATTATTACGAATATATAATTCTGAAAATAACTTTATTTGCAGCTTGTTTCTTGAAATTTTTCCTTATTTCAAAAAATTAACCTTATGTACCTTACCACATTTTCAGAAAAACTTCAAAAGAAATGCCTTGTATTCATAAAATTTTTATTTCAAAAATATTTAAAATTTTGAAATTTTTTAAAAGTGGCCACATATGTTTTAAAAAGTGGCTACTGTTAAAAAAACAACAACTTGTCACTAGTCAGTTTCAAAATTTCCTAATTTTGTCCGTTTACAATTTTAATTGAATTTTTACAATTTAATAATGTTATGATTAAAATTGAATATTGATGTTTTTTTAATTCTATTTTTACTATTTTAATATTTTTGTTGGTAGTCGTATTTTTCATCGTATTTTTAATAATATTATAGATATTGATGTCAGGGAATCTGGATTACTTCGTAAACTGAGATAATGTAATAAATGTTTTTATATAGTCGTATTTTTAATAATATATAAATAAGAGAACAACAAAAACTTGACCTAGTAAAGAATTGATTAAGAGAAGAAAATTAAACAAAAACAAAAAAAAAAAAGAATAACGGGTATTAAAAGATTGGAGAAGAAATATAGCTGAAAGAGAAAGAGGTACAACAAAACGGCTATTGTCTTTCAAATCTCGTATATCAAACGTTGAGCAAAGGGCAAAAAAAGGGGAAAAGGGCAATTGGCAATAACGAGCGAACTCCCCCCCCCTCTTCCTTTTAGTCCGATTACAGGCTATAAAATAGAATCTGAAGGAGAGAGAGAGAAAAAAATCGTTCCATTTGATATGAGGCGTGCTGTTCTTTCATAAATTAACTCTTAAAACAATATTTATTATAATCGCATCGGAGGTCAAAATCAGAAAGCTAGAACAGCTTGATCTTTTCAAACGCTTGACCTTTTTTCGTCTTCCTTTTTACGAGAATAGCGGAATGGATTTAAGAAAATTAAATTACTCGTTCGAAATGTCTTATTAAACTAACATACTGTATTTATTATTAACAAAAGTTAGATAAGTTTTCATACTGTTTTAATATTTATTAATACAACCAAATTATTATTGTCATCAGTTTTTATTAATGAAAAATCGTTATCTTAATTATTGTTATTATAGAATTTTTTATAATTTTTCTTACTATTTATTATAATAACTTTACAACTTTTAATATTATAATCATATGAGCGGTATTACTATTTATAATCGCATCTTTATAACTACATTTTATTACTTTAAAATTTTTATCGGTGATTGTAACGCTAAATAATTTTTGACTATTTATAATTAATGTGTCAAATTTACGAGCAATCAAATTATTAATATTACTTTAAATACCACTGCGTCCACAACTGCGCTATTTTTCTCTTTTGTACTCGATATAAAAAAGAAAAAACTGGTCGTTGCCACGTGTTTGTTAAATGGAGAGTGAACTATTTAAAACATTGAAAAAGAAGAATCGCAAGAAAATGAGGAAAAAAGAAAAATAAGTAGCTGTCGCAAAACTCAAAATATTTAAAAGATTAACTTTCGACTTACTTAAAATAGTTCATTTTTAATTTTGAATCCGTAATTCTTTTATTTTTCACAGTTGCAGGTATAGATTTTGTAAAAAGTTTTTAGATTTGTCATCGGAAATTCTCGATTTAAAACCAAAAAATAAAAACAATGGTCTAGACCGGATTTTTCCAGTTTTATTTCCCGGAAAAAAAGCTATCCCCCCAAAAAAAATTTGGTTGCAAGATGTGAATTCATATTCAGCATCCTAAAAAAATATATTTACCAAACAATTGCACCACTGAAACTCATCAGATAAAAATCTCTATTGCTAGGCCTATTTTTTTCTTTTCTTAAAGTCTAACTATGTCATAATTCAGTCTATGATGTGATAAGTTCATGAGAGCGAATATTTATGACTTTTAATTAAAAATGAATTAATGCACATTCAAAGTGTGTTTAAAATGTTTCGCATTCAAAGTATTCAAGAACATTCAAAGTGTTTCGCTGACATGAATAATGCGTATAGTTCCAAAAACAGAAACACGGGAATACGAATTTGTTGCACAAAAATTCGAACT